AGGCCTGGTCCTGCCCCGTCCCTTCCTCCTCCATTTCTCTATCTTGTTGGGATGTGAGGCATGCATGAGTGGCCAGAGTATTTTTCAACCTACTAGAGTTGATCTAGATCCCATGTGAGATCTAGTTCCCTTAACCACTAGCCCACAGGGATGGCCCTGTTAATTCAGTCTTAAACTGATAAATGCCACTGTTTTCTGGAAGGAGGCTAGGTGTAGAGTGTGGGAGAGTGGTTGGAAAGCTGGGATGAAAATGACCTAGAGGGGAGGACAATTTAAGGCCCACCTCCACAATTCTCTCAGCAGGACAGGGCATTATAACTGCAGTGTGCTAATCACAGCCAGCATGGAGCACAGCTGACATGGAAGAACTGAATTTATTTTGTGGCAGCCTTATCAGTATAAACGTTGGGTCTCTGTGACAAGTCTGGCAGTTTAACTTTAATGAGTAGTTTTGACTTGTGCCAGGCAGATAAGTGGCTCCTACTGATACCAGTAAGATCACAGAGAAACAGCTGCAGACTGAGTTGGGATAATGAGGTTGCTATTCTCACCCTTGGCTCTGCCCATGTTCAGGATTTCCTGCCCTGAGCCTTGCTGCTGTGCTCTGCACCACTACGATTCCAGCAGGTGGGAGAAGGGAGAGTGCTCAGTCCAGGGCCAGCAGAAGAGTCCCAGCAGAAGCGGCTACCACTTACCAGCTAAGTCAACGGATCCCATCAGCTGTGTTTCTCTTGCACAACAAACACAAACTGAGGGCAACTTTTTCTGATAATCATTTTTCAAGGTACCATTGTTCTGAATAAGGATCAACCCAAAATACTCTATCTTTCCTCATCCAAATACATTCTTGGCCTGCTTCATAAACAGGTGACACCTTCAGGAAGTGTGGGACTAATGAAACCTATGTTTGTAAAGGCACTTGTCAGCACTACATATAGGTAATGCATTTACAAACTACAATCCATAAATTATTATATACGGGTCTTCAAAAAGTTCATGGAAATGCATATTTAAAAAAAAAAAACGACAGGGGTGGCAGTCAGCAGGTGGCATGGTGGTTAAGGCACTGGACTCCCACATGGATGACTGTGGTTCGAGTCCCAGACCTGGCAGTTACTTTCTCACTTTTCCTTTCTTTCTGTCTCTCTCTGGTCAAATTAAAAAATAATAAGTAATAATAGCATAAAGTTGAATAAATAAACAATTCTTTTTAATCCCCCTCTCTCTCTCATTCTCTCTCATTCTGTACCTCTCTGGTCAAATTAAAATAAATTCATAAATAAAATAATTATTTTTTAAAAAAACTATGGATGGATTTTTTTTTTTAAGTTTTCCATAGGATATGTGTGCTGGTCAGAGAAAGACAGAGGTGGAGACAGAAGGTGAGAAAGTGAGGAAGCACACCCCCTCAAGGGGGTTTGCCATACTGCAAATTCTTTTTCTCTATTCTCCTCTTGGGACTTTGAGCACACACACACACACACATGCCCAGAGTGATTTTCAAGCTGCTAGGTCCAGGACTTGAACCATTCAGCTGGCCACGTGGGATCCAGCCATCTTAACCACCATGCCACTGGCTGGCCCCTATGCATAGATTTTAAAACCTTACTTTATTTCTGGGACCAGCAGTTAGTGTAATGGCTATGTCGCTGGACTCCCATGTAGTCGACTGCGGTTCACGTCCCGGTGGCTTAAAACTCACGCTGGGTGCGTGTGCAAGATCCCGAGAGGAGAAGGGAGGAGAAGGAATTGCGGCGTGGCCACCCCCTGGGGGGTGATTTCTCACTTTCTGTCTCTCTGTCTCTGTCTGTCTGATGAGCGCATGCGCCCTATAGCAAAAACCTCTCCAA